TCGACTAATATAGATTAACTTTAAATTAAGCAGGAAGTATTTTACTTTCTAAATTTTTTTAAGTAAGAGAATCTTACCAAAGAATTTAAAGATTACTTATTTATTTATTTATGTCTATTCATTAAATTTATTTAAATTTAATTATTTATTATTATTTTAAATTAACTTTAATTTCGATTCAACTTATTCTTCTTATATTTTTTTAGTTCCCATATTGTAAGAATTAAAAGAAGATAAAGAATAAATTAAACGACATTGAAATTTATCTACATTGATATAGAAATGAACATAAGTAAATTTCTTTAATCTGAGATTGTTTTTTTCGATACTGATATAATTTCGTATCTCCAGCCTGCCGGAGCTACTTGTCACCACATTACGCGCCGTAAGAAGTGACACAATATAATAAAAATAAGAAATCTCAAATCGGCCCGAGAGAGCCCGCATGGCGGAATATCTTCCCGTTTATGAGCCAAGTGAAACCGGATCTTCGAGAGAAGGCGGCGTGTCAGTGCCAATATAAAGACAGCCGGCGCGAAATACTTCTAATTTGGTGCACGCCGGAATCGTACGAAACGAATGCGGAACTTTCTGACCTCGCCCGCGAATAATTTTAGGCAATAAACCATGAACATGGTTTTTAATGATGTTCCATGATAAATGTGTTGTTTCTCAGCAACAATACTGATGACAATACCTAAATCGAATTTACTGCCTGATATTAAACAAGTATTACTAACGAAAAATTAATAAAGAATGGTCAAAATGCCGGAGCAGTTGCAAATTGAAACAAAATAGGAACAAAAAATTGAAAAGAAAAAAAAATTAATGAAAACATTTTGAAGAGCACTTTTGTTAAACTCTTTGATCTATTTCTATGACTTTCTTTTCATTGACAATGAATAAAAAGTGTAACGAATATTACTAAAACGAATATAGGTATATTTCTTGTATCTTTGTCGAATACAATTGAAAATTTATTTAGGGTACAAACACATTTCCATGCACAAATTTCATATAGAATTATTTTAACAAAACTGCAAATAAAGTTTTATTTATTTCCTATTTTGACGTTTTAAATCAGCGTTGAAAAATTTTCTCTTTGATGTTTTGACTTCTTTAATTTTTTTGAATGAAATTTCACTCTTTGGAAATAAGAATTATGTCAAAAAATTTAGAAAGAGACTGTATCTTTATTACTTTCTTTTTTAAATCAACCTAAATCCTTATCCAGAAGTTGATTTTTATGAAACTAATGTAATAGAATTTTTCGTGAATTTGAAATTTTTACCATAGGATTTTATTTTTTAAGAATTTTTAAGAATCATTGATAAGCAAATCTGTTATATGTAAATAAAATTACCAGAGTTGGATAAGTTAAATAATAAATTTTTTTTTTATAAAATTGACGAAGTTCTAAACGTTCAAGTATACGCTTCGCGAAAGACAATTGCGCGCGGGACAAAGATAGTCTTTTTCGAACGTTTTGTGAATCATCATTTGTGAGTATTATACATGAAGATATACTTGTATTAATGAATACGAAAAGTCAAAATAACAATGAAATTTATAATCAGCTGATATGGGAAATCAGTCCAAAAATTATACCAATTAAAGTGAATTAAAAACTATCGAACTTGCTGCACTATCTTCGCCTGCGTGTTTAACGAAGATTTCCACAGTATTGTTATAAATGTTTGAGTCTATAAAGGTACAAATGCCCAACGATATGTGGCAACAGAGAATGCAGTCCGCACTAAAACGACCGACTATCACACGCTGCTATCCAAGAAGAAAAAATGCTTCGTCGGCAGCATTAAAGATGTTAAAGCATTATAGATGTTTCGGAGACTACAACCTCATCAAAACGTTTATTATGGACTTGTAATAGATGACTCTATATAAGTTAACTTATGTTATGTAAGTTGACATAAATGATCATTTTATTTAAGTATAGCTATTTTTATAATTGTCATGAATTTTAAACATTTTTCTCGAAATCGCATTTTAATATCGATGCTCAAGATATTTCGAAAACTGCATTAATATTTCAAACTTTGCAAGTTTATTTTAGATATAAAAATCTAATCCTTGAATAAACGATACATATAGGTTTTTTTATTAATGAAAAATAAGCGATGCTCTTTTATCAAAAATCGAAATTTTAACTTTTAACGTTCGTCATTTTGTTCCAAATCAATATTTCGAAAAATTGTTCGTTCAAAAACTAGACAATTTGATATAATAAATAAATCTTTTCGATCGACTCGTTATTTTTTAAGTAAATATTTTTTCAGAATCATAAACTTGTAAACGGTAATTATTTTATATTTTGAGATTAAACCGTAAATGTAACAAATTACTTTCACAAAGTAACTTTCCCAATCCTAGATTTTTCTTTTCAATGTATTTGTTGGTATGTAGAAATCTTAAGTACGAAAAAAATTACATTTCAAGTACTGTTTGCATACGTTGATCAACGTATTTAAGGATGTATATATTTTACACATATTTTCAAGTATTCTTTAAGTATGTATTAAGTATACATTCTTTAAGTATTCTTTAGTACTTTAAGATGATATAAAATTTTATTACAATCTCTACATCGCAATGAAACTTAATTTGCCTAAATCATATTAAATATTTCAAATTAAATATTTCATATTAAATATTTCACTTATGCAAAAAATTGAAAGTTTTATCATTATTTTTTAAATTAGTTTATAAAGACGCTATTAACATTCAGAAAGCTGCGATTTATCTCATACGATTTATCTATAACCTAGATCCAAATAAAATTCAGTAAATTTCGACCCCCTCTAACTTTGGTCGTCGGCGTGCTATGCACATGTTGCACACTTGCTAAAACACGCCTCTCATTATAACAATAAAAAATAATAACGAATAAAGTAAATGAACTATCAAACTAAATAAAAATAGAAGATCAATAGAAATAGAACATTATATAAATCGCAAACTTCGCATATGTATATATGTATACATATAGTTTCTTTAAAATATAAATATAAACACGTAAGAATGGGATACATTTTTAATCACGTCTTGGCGAGAGATATCGCTATCTCACGTCTGTATTTTATCTTTTATCATAAGATTTTGTCGCGCAAAAAGTTTCGCTAAGTCAATATGTTTACAAAAGCGATATATTTAACCGTTCCAAATGCATATCAGAAAACGCGCAAAGATTTTACTTACACACAGTTGAGACTTATCGAAACGAAGGATAAATAGTCGAATAGGAACAATTATTTACGCAGCTGTTGGGATATAAGTTACAATGCAACACGATTTCCTTTCAGTTAGAGTGCGTTACGCTAAATTCATGTCTCTCTCTCTCTCTCTCTCTCTCTCTCTCTCTCTCTCTCTCTCTCTCTCTCTCTTTCTTTTCGTCGAAATTAGCCCACAAACTCATCGACGCGCGTCCGCCTCGCTACTTTCAATCACAAAACAATTTCGCTCGGACTGTAGTAATTACGCGGTGCGGTGCGGCGATACCGTGGATTGCACGCTAAAATTTTTCGCATGTCACCAGGCCATCGCACCTGGTGCCTTACGCAAAGACACAGTTGAATATAAATCGTTGTCGAAAGACAGTATTCATGCATAGACCGTTCTTATTTTAAAATTTTTTGAAGTAATGTAATGTAAAATCTCTTAAGATGGTAATAATATGGTAACGATTCTCTGATTGGATTATAACTGATCGTAAGACTGTATTTAAAACGGCCTTAAATATAAGATTTGCCTATATGAATACCGGCCTAAATATCGCAGTGCTCGGGTTTAACGGTGGTCTCGTTTCTAAAGTTCGGTTAGGAATCTAGGTATCAGCTGAGGAAGATCAGTGCAAATAAAATTGTGCAATTTCGCTCGTAAATCTGGTAAATTCTCGATTCGAAAGAAGCAGCAACTATTTATTATCTATAGAGGCTGAAAATCGTCACTATTTTGTGCGATATTCGAGACAATTTGTTTTCTACGATATTCTCTATCTACGATATATGGGAAATCTACGAACCGTTGATACACGAAAATGATCGATTCAATCTTTCCTTCTTTGTTTATACTTTCTTACTTTCTCACTCTTTCTCTTTCTCTCGATGTTCATCTTATTTGACTTCATCTCTCCTTTCTTTTCCCTTCTTTCTTCCTCTCTCTTCTCTCCCCCCTCCCGCTCTCTTTCATCCTCTTTCCCTTTCTCATATAATATGAAACGAGTTTCCAGCGATTCAATGCCTTGGTCTCGCAAATGTGAAAGTACATTACTGCGGGCTCTGAAAGTTGTTTTGCTCGAAGGTTTACTTCTCGAACGGCCCTGGACCGTTCACCGAGAAAAGATCTTCACGAAAGAGTGTCTAACGCGCAGTGAAAAATCACGAGAAAGAAGGAATTAGAATGGATAAAGGAATCGAAGCATTTTTTCCGTCACTCGACAAATTGCGATAAAGAAATCAACAAGAAGATCGACGCCGCACGAGAAAGGAAAGTGGATATGAACAAAAAATGTATTATTTAATTCATCAATTATTTCAAAATTTAATTGTATAAAATAGCCGAATCAAAATGTATTAATAAAATGTCTCTCTTCATCTTTATATTATGTTTGTATTATATTTATAAAATGCGATCGGTATAAATTTATTTTATTTATAATATAATATTTATTCTATTTATATTACATTTATATTATATTTTTATTTTTATATTTGTTGTCTCAATGCTCTTTTTTCGTCATTGTATTTGCTAGTCTAAATTTTGCTCCTTGCTAGCCTCGATCGGTATAAATTCGCCTTATCATTCCTTTTATCACTTCCACTCGTGTGATCACACGTGTCTGTCCTCTCGAGACCATTTCGCCTCCATCATTTCACTCCATCACCTCCTCTCGACCGGATTGTATTTCTGTTATCCGTTAGTGCGTCATCAACGCATGTGCGGTGCATACGTGAGGAAAAGCGAGCAGAAGTGCATCATGCCACGTTATAATTGGAAACATAATTATAAGTTTATACAATTACAACATTTCCAATCGATTTTATTCAAAATGTAAAGAAAAAAAGAATTTTTTTGATTTGTTGAGCAGAGAAGTGAATCATTGATCCAATAAAAGATAACAAAAAAGTCTTGAAAATATTGATTTTTCGACTAATCTTTCCGGAAATGAAAATTTCATTGGGGTTTATGCAATATTAGGTCCATTCCTGTAGGTCTAACTCTTAAATCAATGCTCACGTAAGGTTTCGCTACGTAGATATGTATAGATCTAATCGGCTTACTTACTGACATTTGGAGCATATAATTTTATTATTGATAAAGACCGAATTTAATCCATCTCCAATCTCGTTCTCATTTCTTTCTAATAACATCTCTTCACAACACAATTATATATCATACTTTTTGCGTTTACAGTTGTCGCGGTTTTCGCGTTTCATAAAACAGGAAGTCATTTATCTTTCCTCGCAAGCATATTTTGCGACTTTCAAATCACCTTTTCCTTTTTTATATTGATCAACTCTTTAGCAATCGCGTTTGATTGTCGATTTACGTAAAACAGTATTTTTCATTGAATTCTAATTATTACAGGATGATTTTATATTACAGGATTATTTACCATTATTTCCTATCTAAATTATTTTTATTATTTTTTATAATTTTTTATATCATTATTTTTCATTATTTTCATTATTATAAATTATTTTCATTATGATAATATGAAAAACTGAGA